ATGGGGGAAGATCCCCTGGGAGCTGCGCCTGTTCATATCATTTCCAAACAGCTCCGCCAATGCTGCCTCCTGATTGGGCACGAAAATACTTTTGTATTTTCAGGGTTCTTCCTGCGACAATTGTACTCTTTCGTCCGCATCAATATTTGCCGAGTTTTGCTCGTCCCGCCCCAGCTAAATGTCCCTGAGTCTATGAGGAATAGCTTACCTTAACAGTTAAGACAACGTTCTTTATAGTTGCAGGCAACTCTTTAATTGTTTGAAATTAATAAAAGCGAAAATTTTAAAATCGCTATGGTGGTTGTCTCCTACTGGTCTAACGCAGTCAAGTTTAAATTTGATTGATTTCCAAATTTAATTGATTTTCACCACAACAATTTTCCATACTCAACATCATCGCTTTTAGGCATGACATTTTTCTTTATTATTCATCACCAAATTTAATTGATTCTCACCATGACATTTTGCCTCACTATACATCACCAAATTTGATTGATTTCCATTATGACATTTGCCTTGCTATGCATCACCAAATTTAATTGATTCTCACCATGACATTTTGCCTTACTATACATCACCAAATTTGGTTGATTACCGTTATGACATTTTGCCTCACTATGCATCACCAAATTTGATTGATTTCCATGATGACATTTTGCGTCACTATGCGTCACCAAATTTGGTTGATTACCATTATGACATTTTGCCTTACTAAACATCACCAAATTTGATTGTTTTCCATGATGATATTTTGCGTCACTATACATCACCAAATTTGGTTGATTACCATTATGACATTTTGCCTTACTATAAATCACCAAATTTGATCGATTTCCATGATGTTATTTTGCCTTACTATACATCACCAAATTTGATTGAGTTCCATCCTGACAATTTGCCTTACTATACATCACAAAATTTGATTGATTTCCATCATGACATTTTGCCTTAAGGTTACTTCCCACCTTCGCAGGTGCCCTTCGGGAAAAAAATCGTACGCGCGCCAGTTTCAATAAANGTTGAAAGTGTTGGTCAGTTTAGTCGTGATGGTATTGGCGGAAAGACTCATGTATTTTGTCAGCAGTCATTGGTCGGTTCTAGTAGGTGTCGATCCGTCTATTTTTAGTCAAATTAAGTCAGTCTTTTTGAAGTCCGTCTGTCGGTTTTTTTTAGGTGGTGACTGAGTCGTTTGTAAGGTGCCGGTAGTTGTTGGCGTGCAGCGAGTTTGGTAAAATTTGCAAGACGCCTGTCGCTAAGTTCTCGTCTAGTTGCTAGTGAGCCGATCAACGCTTATCCAGGATTAAAATTTAATCAAAATTTTTCTTTCCAGTTATTGTACAAAATAATTTTTACTGCTATTTTTGTAGAGCTTAAGATTATCAGATTCAAAAGTGAAGGACAAAAATACAACCAAAAAACCCTTGCTCAGCCAAAACATTACACTGAAAACTGAAATCAGATCGCGCTATCCTGGATTAAGGTTACTTCCCACCTTCGCAGGTGCCCTTCGGGAAAAAAATCGTACGCGCGCCAGTTTCAATAAAACCCCAACAAACTATATGTCATAAGAAAGCTTAATAAATGTACTTTACGAAAAAAATACAATTTCCGCAATGCTTTCTTTTAGTAAGTGTCAGGAGGCGGTAAGGCGTGAAACGAGCGAGGCTTCTTCTATTGAATTTATCGG